GATTTTTTTTCAAATTCATGTATGTATTTATTGATATTTAAAACAAAAGTAATAGTTATTGCAGATATCTTGACATATATTCATATTATGCATGTATAATATATATATATATATATATATATATATATATATATATATATATATGCATATATACATGTTTATATCTATACATACATATACATATACATATGTATGTATATACCGTACGTATGTGTGTGTGTGTGTACGTACATATATATCCACATGTATATATATTAAACATATACACACGTACACACACACAAACTCATATACAAACATAGATATACATATATATATATATATATATGCACATATATCCATACATATGTGTGTGTGTGTGTGTGTGTGTGTGTCTGTGTGTCTGTGTGTACCTGTTCTTTCTTATATTCATTTTTTTCTATGTGTTTCTGTGACCATATATTCTATCTGATGTTCTTGCGTTCGAACTGAAATGAATTTTCTTCAGAATGATACAATGAACTACTTTCTGTTTTGTCATCATGTTAAAATACGTAAACAAACAAACAAATAACAACAACAACAACAACAAAAAAAATCCTAAGGGTAGGAATGAAAAGAAATTTCCCATTTTATTTCGTACATATATATTTGCATATATCTGAAAGGAATATTTTACAATACATGACTATGATGTGATTAGCTAGAAGGTTGGACGAAAGACAAATGTACAAACACAATAGGAAAAGTGATATACAGAACACACATACAGTGAATAAACGTATACATAAGGTTTGGATACATGATACATAGCAAGGAAAATATGACTATCTAAATAAATACATTACGCGAAATATAGACACAGACAAAATCACAGCAAGATATTCATCAGATTTCAAAGAGGCTCCGGCGTTCTCTGAATTAGTTGAGTCTCCCATATCACCGTTTTCTGTAACACCTGGACTAGAGCTATCTCCGTTTTCTTCGACTCCGTTTTCTTTGTCGTTCTCATTCCCGTTTTCTTCGGGTTCGTCAATGGAGGGAATCGTCCTCTCTATATAATTGTTGACGCACTGTTCCAGAATGTTCAACGGACCCGTGCACTGCAGCAACACGCCATGGAAATCTTGCAGACGGAATAAATTGCCCAAAGCATTCTGGGCCTTTTGACGCAACTCCCTAATTTTTATTTCGCCGATTTTGTAAGAGCACGCTTGCCCCGGCCAGGTGATGTAGCGGTTGACCTCGATCTGGGAAGAAAACGGGAAATAGTGAGATGAATTTTTTTTTTTATGAATTAAGGAACACACACACATGTATATATGTGTGCATGTTTATGTATGTATGTATGTATGTATGTATTTATATATATACAAATGGATAGAATGATAGAAAAACGAAAAAAAATCTAGAAACCAAACTCAATCACGAAAAAAAAATAAAAAAGAGACCCTACCTGAATCGCGGTTTCGGACATGCCCGTGTGTTCGAGCAGGAAATTCACGGCCTTGTCACGTGACCAGCCCAGAGCATGGATGCCGGTGTCGACCACGAGGCGGCTGGCGCGAAGGAGCTCGAACGAATACCGGCCTAATCTGGAAATTCGGATAAGATGAGATGAGATATGGCGAGGGAGAGAAGAGGGAGGAGGAGGAGAGGGAGAGAGGGAGAGGGAGGGAGGGGAAAAAGGGAGGGAGGGGAGGGAGAGGGAAGAGGAGGGAGGAGGGAGGGGGAGAGGAAGGAGAGAGGGGAAGGGAAGGAGAGAGAGAGAGAGAGGGAGGGAGGGAAAAAGGTTGGGGGAGGGGGGAGGGAGGGGAGCGAGGGAGGGAGGGAGGGACAGAGAGAGAGAGAGAAGAGAGAGAGAGAGAGAGAGAGAGAGAGAGAGAGAGAGAGAGAGAGAGAGAGAGAGAGAGAAGAGAGAGAGAGAGAGAGAGAGAGAGAGAGAAGCAGAATTAACAAATAAAGGAATAAAGCGGTAAGAGATATCAGTAATATATAAAGGAATGAGGTGATAAGAGAAAACGTGCAAAGATAAAGGGATGGAGAGATAATAATTAAAGAAATAGATGAGGAATGAAATGATAACAGAAAGTGAAAAGATAAGGGACTAAGCCAATAAGAGACAAATGAAATATATATGGCAATCAGAAGATATGAAACAAAGTAAAGACAGAATTTTACAATTTGTGAAATCGGAGAATAAGGTTAGGGACCACGACGATAAAAAAATATGCTGAAGTGTGTTGCATTTACTAGAATGTATAATTCTATTCACTATATAATAATACGTAACTATAACATTTCTCATAATACACAATTCTAGAATACAAAACTAAACACAACAATAAAAATATAATCAAAAATATATAAAAATATAAACTCCACGAACGAGAACCAAATCATGCCAAGGGAAACTCACCTCTGATACGGGTCGGCATAGAGTCCCAATTCCTCTCCCAGCATCTCGGCGTAGAGCCCCCAGCCTTCAACGAAAACGGTATGAAGGGGAAACTTAGCTGGAACGTCACCCATTCTCGTGCTGTCAATATATTTGCGAAAATCGGGCGTGGAGGGGTTCTTCCTCGTGTAGGCGTAGTGGAAGTGGTGCCCTGGGATGGCCTCGTGTAGGGAAAGGGCCGTGACCTCGTATTTCTTGCTGGGGGGAGAGAGAGAAGAGGAGAGAGAGCGAGGTCAGAGGTTTGGCTGTTCAAAAAACAAAACAAAAAACAACAACAACAACAACAACAAAAGAATTCATGAGCGAAAATAAATGATAGAATTAGATAGCAAAAATGAATGGAAGGAAAATTAACGATTCTTTAAAAATTTACTTAAAATTTAGATCTTTATCAGAAAAAGACATTCTCTTCCTCTTTCTTTTCCACAAAGACAATATTTATCTTCATCATTATAACAATTACTAATTCGTCGAGAAAAACGACAACTTATTTTCTTTGTTTTAATAAAGTTTGAATAGTTTTTTGTGGGTACAGTGGACATTTATAGAGAGAGAGAGAGAGAGAGAGAGAGAGAGAGAGAGAGAGAGAGAGAGAGAGAGAGAGAGAGAGAGAGAGAGAGAGAGAGAGAGAGAGAGACAGACAGACAGACAGACAGACAGACAGACAGAGAGAGAGAGAGAGACAGACAGACAGACAGACAGACAGAGAGAAGAAAAACAAAGAATAAAACAAACAGACAAGAGATAAAAAGAACCAAACACACACCAAAAAAGAGACATAAAACCAGACACAGCCGAACAAACCCACACCCACGAGCAAGAATAAACCAACTTACTGTTTATCATAAATATACGAATTTAAGAAGAAAGTCCCTTGGCGAGAACCATCCATGGAGGGACCCGAGTAGTAGGCAAAGACAGCATTGGGTTCGTCGACGCCCTCGATCCTATAACGAAGAAAAATGTTCGTTATTGATGCGAATGATGGTAATAGGGATGGTGATGATAAAGCGATGATAACTATGCTAATTTTGATGAAAATGCAGTAAAGAATAGTTCAATTATATGTATTGATAGAGAATATAAATAATTAGGTCAATAGTATATAATACTAAGAATAATGAATAATTCAATGATAGTGATAGTAACGATAAATATTACAATGTGATTCTATAGTGATAATAACGATAATTATTATAATGTGAGTTAATAGTGACAATAACGATTATTCTCACAGTGTGATTCAGTAGTGATGATAACGATAATTATTACAAAGTGACGATAGTAAGGAACATTTTGATGAAAATGAATACAAAAAGCAAGATTGTTTTATATTCGTTTCAGAAATGTGTTTGGTACGATTCTCCAAGAATGAATATTTTGTAACTCAGTTCAGCAGTATATGTGGTAATTTTTTATTTTGCGACCAATTAACACTATTTCTAAAAAAGATAATGTATTCAGACTTGTCTTTAAAAAGGAGTGGTATGATTATTTGTGCAAAAAGTAATTACATTCCCCGCCTTTTTAAAAATCTATTTCTACTTCACTCACGTCCCTATCTCTCCTTTTCCTCTCAATTTTCTCCTTCCATCTTTATCACTCATCCCTTCCTTCCCCTCCCTTTTTTAATCTATTTTCACCTCATTCACTCACCTCTCCTTTTCCTTTTCTCCTTCCTACTTTATCACTCGCCCCTCCCTCCCCCTCTCCTTTTCCCTTTCTCCTTCCTACTTTATCACTCGTCCTTCCCCTCCCCTCCTTTTATCAAAATCTATTTCCACGTCACTCATTCACTTCTGCTTTTCCTTCTCTCCTCCCTACTTTATCACTCACCCCTCCCTCCCCCTCTCCTTTTCCTTTCCTACTTTATCACTCCCCTCCATCTCCCCTCCTTGTCCTTTCCTACTCCTATTTTCCCTCCCCTCCCCTCCCCTCCTTTTATCAAAATCTATTTCCACGTCACTCACTCACCTCTCCTTTTCCTTCTCTCCTTCCTACTATATCACCCGCCCTCCCTCCCCCTCTCCTTTTCCTTTTCTCCTTGTCACTCACTCACCTTTCCTTTTCCTTCTCTCCTCCCTATTTTACCACCCGCCCCTCTCCTTTCCTTTCCTCCTTCCTACTTCCTACTTTATCACCCGCCCCTCCCTCCCCTCTCCTTTTCCTTTCCTCCTTCCTACTTCCTATTTTTCCCTCCCCTCCCCTCCCCTCCCTTTTTTAATTTAAAATCTATTTCCACCTCACTCACGTCACATTCACTTCAGGCACGGAGTCAAAGAGCTGGTGCATCAGGGGGTAGATGTCGCCGTAGACTCTCTGTCTGTAGGTGCTGAGAAGCTCCTCCTTGCTGCCGAAACGTTGCTCTGGGTCGTCCTTGAGAATCTGGAAGACCTCGGCTGCCGTGTGGCTCTCGATACCCATCTCCTGGGCGGTCTGAGGAGGAGGAGGAGAAGAAGGAGGAGGAAGAAGGATGAGAATATGAGAATATGAGTGATTTTTTGGGGTGTTTTCAAGGTTATATTTATATAATCTTATCTACTCGTGGGTATGGGTACATTACTGAACAGAAACAGTTTATTTAGCAGAAAAAAGAGAGAAAAAACTAAGCAAAAACATCAGTATTACTAAACAGAAACAGTGTTTATTTGGCAGAAAAACAACGACTTCAACTAAGAACAAACAACGGTAACCAACAGGCATTAAATGCCAGGACCCTTCCTCCCTACCTACACCCGCCACCCCGCAAAACCCCAAACCCCTCTTCCTCCAAAACCGACCCTCCCCCCCCCCACTCCAACCCACCTCATTGACCCCTCCTCCCAAAACACATTAAAAAAAACCCACTCCAACCCACCTCTTTGACCCCCCCCCCCATTCAACCCACCTCTTGACCCCCCCTTCTCCAACCACCTCATTGACCCCTCCTCCAAAACACATTACCCCCCCCCGCCCCCCAAATTCCAACCCCCCTCGTTGACCTCGCTCTCGATCCTCTTGACCTCCGAGAGCCCCAAGCTGTGAATCTCCTGGGGCGTGAGCTGGGTGGTCGTGTGGAACTTGAGGCAGGCCAAGTAGTAGTCCTCGCGCCTGGCAGGGACACGCG